GTGGTGCTGGGTGTAGGTGGTGGGTTGGTGCTTGTGCTAGGTGGTGCTGGGTGTAGGTGGTGGGTTGGTGCTTGTGCTAGGTGGTGCTGGGTGTAGGTGGTGGGCTGGTGCTTGTGCTAGGTGGTGCTGGGTGTAGGTGGTGGGTTGGTGCTTGTGCTAGGTGGTGCTGGGTGTAGGTGGTGGGTTGGTGCTTGTGCTAGGTGGTGCTGGGTGTAGGTGGGGGGCTGGTGCTTGTGCTAGATGGGTGCTGGGTGTAGGTGGTGGGTTGGTGCTTGTGCTAGGTGGTGCTGGGTGTAGGTGGTGGACTGGTGCTTGTGCTAGGTGGTGCTGGGTGTAGGTAGTGGGTTGGTGCTTGTGCTAGGTGGTGCTGGGTGTAGGTGGTGGACTGGTGCTTGTGCTAGGTGGTGCTGGGTGTAGGTGGTGGGTTGGTGCTTGTGCTAGGTGGTGCTGGGTGTAGGTGGGGGTTGGTGCTTGTGCTAGGTGGTGCTGGGTGTAGGTGGGGGGTTGGTGCTTGTGCTAGGTGGTGCTGGGTGTAGGTGGTGGGTTGGTGCTTGTGCTAGGTGGTGCTGGGTGTAGGTGGGGGTTGGTGCTTGTGCTAGGTGGTGCTGGGTGTAGGTGGGGGGTTGGTGCTTGTGCTAGGTGGTGCTGGGTGTAGGTGGTGGACTGGTGCTTGTGCTAGGTGGTGCTGGGTGTAGGTGGGGGGCTGGTGCTTGTGCTAGATGGGTGCTGGGTGTAGGTGGGGGGCTGGTGCTTGTGCTAGGTGGTGCTGGGTGTAGGTGGTGGACTGGTGCTTGTGCTAGGTGGTGCTGGGTGTAGGTGGTGGGTTGGTGCTTGTGCTAGGTGGTGCTGGGTGTAGGTGGGGGGGTGGTGCTTGTGCTAGGTGGTGCTGGGTGTAGGTGGGGGAGGGTGCCCGTGCTAGGGGTGCTCCTAGGTATAGGTGACAGGTGAGTCAGGCTGGGAGGTATTTTGGATGGGGTGCCTGGCAAGGCTCAGGAGACTCCCTCGTACCAAGCTTCTCACATCTTTATTATATCTATAAATTCCCAATGCTGTTAATAGTTGCCTTGTGTTATCCCTATTGCGTTGTATTATCACCACTACGTTGTATTATCCCCATTGCGTTGTATTATCACCACTGCGTTGTATTATCCTCCATTGTATTATTCCATCTTGTAATTTAAATATTTTCTCTTAAATATTAAAGTTGGGGAAAAGTAACCTTGAAGGATGTATGAGAGAGGCTGTTGTGTGCTCCTTAGAGATGACTTATTGGTCTGTTGTGTCCTCTTCTTGGGTACCTTGGGCCAGATTCACGAAAGCACTTACGTCAGCACTTACGAACCTGTATATCTTTACTCAATCTTTGGCGGCTTTGTTTCCAATTATTAAACAGTTATCTTGAGATGATTTCGGCGCTTTTAGTGTCCCCGCGGCCCGGTCCTCAACCAGGTCTTCACCCCCAGGAAGCATCCCGTGACAGCTGACTAACACCCAGGTACCTATTTTACTGCTAGGTAACAGGGGCATAGGGTGAAAGAAACTCTGCCCATTGTTTCTCGCCGGCGCCTGGGATCGAACCCAGGACCACAGGATCACAAGTCCAGCGTGCTGTCCGCTCGGCCGACCGACTCCCTATAGTTAATGAGCTCCGAAGCACCAGGAGGCTGTTTATAACAATAACAACAGTTGATTGGCAAGTTTTCATGCTTGTAAACTGTTTAATAAATGTAACCAAAGCCGTCAAAGATTGAGGAAAGATGTACACGTTCGTAAGTGCTTTCGTGAATCTGGCCCCTTGTCTCTCTCTCTTAAGTGTACCTCTTGTAATTGGTCACAGTCGTTCAGTACAAGAATCATGTGATTGGTTATAGTGGGTGTAGATGTGGTGTATATGTTGGTGTGTGGGTGTTAGGGCACATCCTAAGCCAGTGGGGTCAAGGGTGTGGGTGCTGCTCCACACCCATAGCCAGTGGGGTCAAGGGTGTGGGTATTGCTCCACACCCTAAGCCAGTGGGGTCAAGGGTGTTGGTGTTGCTCCACACCCATAGCCAGTGGGGGTCATGGGTGTTGGTGTTGCTCCACACCCATAGCCAGTGGAGTCAAGGGTGTGGGTATTGCTCCACACCTATAGCCAGTGGGGTCAAGGGTGTGGGTGTTGCTCCACACCCTAAGCCAGTGGAGTCAAGGGTGTGGGTGCTGCTCCACACCCATAGCCAGTGGAGTCAAGGGTGTGGGTGCTGCTCCACACCCATAGCCAGTGGGGTCAAGGGTGTGGGTGCTGCTCCACACCCATAGCCAGTGGGGTCAAGGGTGTGGGTGCTGCTCCACACCTATAGCCAGTGGAGTCAAGGGTGTGGGTATTGCTCCACACCCTAAGCCAGTGGGGTCAAGGGTGTGTGTGCTGCTCCACACCCATAGCCAGTGGGGTCAAGGGTGTGGGTGTTGCTCCACACCCATAGCCAGTGGAGTCAAGGGTGTGGGTGCTGCTCCACACCCTAAGCCAGTGGGGTCAAGGGTGTGGGTGCTGCTCCACACCCATAGCCAGTGGGGTCAAGGGTGTTGCTCCACACCCCCCCCCCATCAAATTCATGGAAGGTATGCAGAAAAAGTGAGTGCCCATGTAGTGAGTCTCTGGGATTTGGCCAGGCTGTGGGGGGTAGTGACTTGGGAGGGGGGGGGGGGGTGAGGAGACATGTAAACACCTCTTCCCCCCCCCCCTCCGTCCCCTCCCCCTCCTCCCCCCCTGTCGCCTCCTTCCTTTCACACAACACAAACTTACACACTTACACAATGGAGCTTTGAGTTTGAGTCAGTCTCAGCTTTGGGCCAGTGACAGTATAGACCAGTGACAGTATAGACCAGTGAGAGTGTAGGTCAGTGAGAGTGTAGGTCAGTGACAGTATAGGTCAGTGACAGTATAGGTCAGTGAGAGTGTAGGTCAGTGACAGTATAGGTCAGTGACAGTATAGGTCAGTGAGAGTGTAGGTCAGTGAGAGTGTAGGTCAGTGACAGTATAGGTCAGTGACAGTATAGGTCAGTGAGAGTGTAGGTCAGTGACAGTATAGACCAGTGACAGTATAGACCAGTGAGAGTGTAGGTCAGTGAGAGTGTAGGTCAGTGACAGTATAGGTCAGTGACAGTATAGGTCAGTGAGAGTGTAGGTCAGTGACAGTATAGGTCAGTGACAGTATAGGTCAGTGAGAGTGTAGGTCAGTGAGAGTGTAGGTCAGTGACAGTATAGACCAGTGACAGTATAGACCAGTGAGAGTGTAGGTCAGTGACAGTATAGGTCAGTGACAGTATAGGTCAGTGAGAGTGTAGGTCAGTGAGAGTGTAGGTCAGTGACAGTATAGACCAGTGACAGTATAGACCAGTGAGAGTGTAGGTCAGTGACAGTATAGGTCAGTGACAGTATAGGTCAGTGACAGTATAGGTCAGTGACAGTATAGGTCAGTGACAGTATAGACCAGTGACAGTATAGGTCAGTGACAGTATAGGTCAGTGGCAGTATAGGTCAGTGACAGTATAGACCAGTGACAGTATAGGTCAGTGACAGTATAGACCAGTGACAGTATAGACCAGTGACAGTATAGACCAGTGACAGGTCTAGGATGGAAAGTCTTAATGTAGGGGGTTTGGTTGGAAAGCTAAAGGGTAAAGTTCACGAAATTAGAATGAGGAAGAAGCAGAGGAGCAGAATGAGGAAGTAGGGGTAAGGGGCAGAGAGAGAGGTGTAGGGAGGAAGCGTGGGGGGGGGTATTTCTCAGAGCCTCATCGTGAGGAGAAAAGGGGGGGGAGGAGGGAGAAGGAAGGAGGAGGGAGCCGACAGAAACAAGTTAGGACAGATGTAGGCCAACAATAATAGGAGAGGAAGAGCCATCCCACATATTAATAGCTTGTGTGGTGGTGTGTGAGTGTGTGTTGCTTGGGGTATCGTGGCAGTGGCCGCTGCTCCTCATTCCTCTCTCCCACCCCTCCTCACTTCTCCATCTTCCCTTCCCTCCCTCTCCCTCCCCCTCCTCACTCTCCCTCCCCCTACCCTCCCTCACTCTCCCAGCAAGCTTAATAAATTAGGACTGAACTTTTTCGCATTTCTTTGCACGAATGTTGTTGACCTGTGTAAATATTGATGTCTTTGTCTTGACTCTGTAGAGTTCTGGGAGTATGGGGAGTTCTTTGTAGGTGGGGGGGGGGGAGGGGTCGTGGGTGGGTGAGAGAGTCGGGAGATAGTGCTGGTGGGTGGATGCGTGGGTATCGTGTGGGTATCGTTGATATCGTATCGGTATACCGTATGGGTGTTTGTTTACATATTATTGTGTGTCTACGAGGGCTAGTTTAATTGTGTGTGTGTGTATGTGCTTATGGGTCAGAGGTTGTTGGCTAACAAGTACCTGGTTGATACCTGGTTGATACCTGGTTGATGGGGTTCTGGGAGTTCTTCTACTCCCCCAAGCCCGGCCCGAGGCCAGGCTTGGCTTGTGAGAGTTTGGTCCACCAGGCTGTTGCTTGGGGCGACCCGCAGGGAGCGTTTGAGAAATGTTTATTTGCTCGCTTGTGTGGTTAATTTTAGCGGCACCAGTCGTATGAATAGCCAGGGTTAAATCCTGCCTCTCTCGTGTACATGTATATATAATATTAATAATTTTGTAACTAGCGTCAAAAGATTGTTATTTGCTTAGCTAAACGAACTAGAGGGTTCAGTTCCTGAACCGATTATGTGCCTCTGTAATCCTTTACACCACCACCGCCCACGGGATGGGGATGGGGTGCATAATAAAGAAAGAAATTGAATTGAATTCCTACTAGTCTTGTGGTTTAAGGGGCTTGTTTTAATGCTGATTTTTCAAGGTTATATTCGCAAGAAAAGTAAGAAGTTATGTTCATCAAAGGTTGTGGTTGGTGAGCTCCGTAGAGTTGTAGACGCGCGAGTGTGTGTGTGTGTGTTGTTACCCATACGCACACACATACGCACGCACTCCAGCCAACCCTCCACACTCAGCCCGGCATCCATGGCTCACTCGCCAGCACAAGCTAAGAGAGTGCGCACACTCCTGTCTCCCAGCGCACTCCTGCTGCTCCCACTACGGGAGGTGTCGGCGTGTGTGTATAGCGTGCAACCCATTGAAAGTTTATAATGTGCGTTCGTTACGCAGCGGCAGTGTTGAGTGTGCGTGTGTGCAGCTGCCAGTGTTGCGTGTATACTGCAGACAGTGTTACAAGTGTCCTGCAAACAGTGTTGTGACCGTAGGAGTAGTGTTTACACCTGGCGCGTATGAGCTACTGGAGCCAGTTGTCTCAGGCATTAAGGTGACCCGTGTTCAATGTCCAGTCAAAACATCCGAAGGACGTGTAGTGTGAGCGCCTCGACGTAGCCCTGAGGCAGTGACGCCAAAATAATTATATATTGTTTTCTCTGGTCGCTCCCGTGTTCACATCTCGCCCTCAAATCAACACAACCGAAGATTGAGTTCAAGGAGAGGAAGGCATCGGGTGGAGGAGCGGCAGGTTCAGCAGTAAATGAATGTGGGTCATTTGTTTTTAGCAGTGTTTGTGTGGTGGCCTCCCTCAGGTGCCACGACGAGGGACAAGACGCCAGTGGGTGGAATGAGAGAGATATTGGCTAGTGCGGCCGCAACGGACACACCCGGAGTGAGGCGGGCAATATCGCCGGAGCGCCACAGGGAGATTATCCTCTTGTTAACTTTACCGATCCTGCCATCCCGTGGCGGCGTGGGATGCGTGGCCCTAGTTACCACCCTTCGCCTTGTATCACCCTTGTAGCCCATGTCGTCTTGGGGCGGCGCCCCTCTCGCGACCTTCCCTGAGCGACCTTGGACCAGCCTCCGTGCGCAGGTGACGCGACTGCTGGAGGTAGTTCGCGCCTTCATCACTGCCAAAAAGGACCGCTTGGCTGCGGTCGCCCGCGCTACCCAGAACGCTATACTAAGCCTCCCCATCTTCAAGTCAGTGGCCCATTGCTCTCACCCACTAGATCAGCGAATTACTCATCAGGATCTTCACGTTGTTGACCTTTTTTCCGGAAACGGGTCCATTTCGAAGAAGAAAGCAAGGCGTGTTTTTAACATTAACAGTAATAAACGAGTCAGACTGAGGAACATCCTGTTCGTGAACATCATGGAGGAGGAACGCATGAGCTTCGTGTACATGTTCTGTTCCTTCGTACCTCTAGCTCTCCTGGGACTCTTGCTAGAGGCAGCCGTCTTCCTGTTCTCTGCTGTTGTCCAGGTACGGTACCGTAAACATACACATTCTTCATCCCTGCAAGTGGGCCTCCTCCTCAACCAGGTATCAACCAGGTACCTCAACCAGGTACCTCAACCAGGTATCTCAACCAGGTATCAACCAGGGCTGTCATGCCAATATCATAATGTAAAATCCTGGTTTGTGCCTCGGAGAGGCTACGGGATCCAGTAAGTTCAGTAGAACTTCGGTTTCAACCCTTTTAACCCTGTCGTAGCTCAGTCGATTTAGGCAGTGTCTGGGATGCTCCCGGACGCAGGTTCGAATCCTCGTCACGGCCTTTGTGGATTTGTCAGGCTAACCACCATATGTGCTTAACCGCCATCATCAGTGTGTGCTCCTGCGCCCGGTATTCCCAGCGGCACCAGCCTTGACAAGCGCCGCGAGGGAGGCGGTTGACGGCCGTTGCCACACTCGGCTGACCTTATTCCACCCGGTTTCCTATGGTAAAACCCATACAAAAACATCTAGGTTAATAAATTCGACCTTAGCCAGAGTACCATAGGCAGAATAGTCACCAAAAGCACGTGAGTCGGTTATGCTTGGGTTATCCTCGTAGCCTGGTGGATAGCGCGCAGGGCTCGTAATTCGGTGGCGCGGGTTCGATTCCCGCACGTGGCAGAAACAAATGGGCAAAGTTTCTTTCACCCTGAATGCCCCTGTTACCTAGCAGTAAAATAGGTACCTGGGTGTTAGTCAGCTGTCACGGGCTGCTTCCTGGGGGTGGAGGCTTGGTCGAGGACCGGGCCGCGGGGACACTAAAAAGCCCCGAAATCATCTCAAGATAACCTCAAGATAACCATCCACTTGGAAAATGATAGAAAAGTTGCGAACGTTCTGGTGTTTCAACACATTATCACGGAAACATTTCCTAGGTAATGTGTTGAAATACGAAAACGTTCTGAACTTTCCTTTCATTTTCCTAGTGGATACTTATGCATAGTCCCATGTGTCCACCTCAGCTAAATTAGCAAGGCGAGGTTAGTGGTTAGCAACTCATTGTAGCCATACAAGATTGTATGATACTTGTTACAATAGATGGTTGTGAAGCCTTGATAAATATGTATGTGTGGGTAAGTGTGTAACTAATGACATGCATCATAGTAATTACAACATTATGTACTAATTAGCCATAATTAGTAGGGTGTAAGGGTAACAAGTCCATTTTATTAACAAATCAGCTCGAGAATATTAACTCAAATTAAATCAATTTAGTTTAATGGGCATAATATACAAACTTCAACATTTGAGCCAAAACTAACATATAACTACTTGACTTAACCTTGATATACCTAACTTTTTTCAACTATTCCTAACATAGGTATAATACTAAACGAAAATATATTATAATATTATAAAAAAAACAATGTTAATTTCTTACCGTGCGCACTGATGCTGGTTGATACACTGTATTATAATAAATCGGCTCCTAATGCAACTCCCAGCAACTTCTACGAAGTCTGAAATGGAGTTTCGTTTTCCATAGAGTTTGCCAACAGTTTTCAGTTCGGCCAACGCGAGTGAGTTGTCTATAACACGCGCATTATATCCTTAAATACAATTGTCACCCTCGGTGATTAGTTACGTTAGCTGTGGTAAACATGCATATATACACAGCAACTATAGCTGTGACATATACACTGAATCAGACACTTATACACAGAATTGCAAATTTCCGATTTTGCCTCAATAATCCCTGGATTATTGAGGCATAATAATCATTATAATAATAATTCAATATAATAAATATAATTTGCCTCAATAATCCCTGGATTATTGTTAGTTATTGTGCTCAACAGCAGGAGTTGGGGGGAGGGGGGGGGGGTTTGGAGGAGGTTGGGGGCACTGGGAGAGGGGGAGGGTGGGGGTGTAGATGGGATCTGGGGGTCAGGGTGTACATGGGATCTGGGGGTCAGGGTGTACATGGGATCTGAGGGACAGGGTGTATCAGATCGTTTTAATGAATTTCTTTGAATTATTTGTGTCGGGGGTTTGGGGCAGCGGACACGCTCACTTCCGACGTAGGAAGCGGATGGGCCTTCTACGACGTCGACGGATACCGGTGATACCATGAACGTCACGGGGTGGATAGTTGAGGATGATTGCGCTCTCTCTCTCTCTCTCTCTCTCTCTCTCTCTCTCTCTCTCTCTCTCTCTCTCTCTCTCTCTCTCTCTCTCTCTCTCTCTCTCTCTCTCATTTTCTCTCTCTTTTTTCTCTTTCTCTTTCTCCTTTCTCTCTCTCTCTCTCTCTCTCTCTCTCTCTCTCTCTCTCTCTCTCTCTCTCTCTCTCTCTCTCTCTCTCTCTCTCTCTCTCTCTCATTTCTCTCTCTTTTTTCTCTTTCTCTTTCTCTCTCCTTTCTTCTCTCTCTCTCTCTCTCTCTCTCTCTCTCTCTCTCTCTCTCTCTCTCTCTCTCTCTCTCTCTCTCTCTCTCTCTCTCTCTCTCTCACACACACACACACACTGGGAGAAATTACATTAGGAGCAATGATATATATATATAGAAAGGTGAGTAGGGTAGATTGCCGCAGTTACCATAGGGAGATCACGGCCGCTAACTACCCGACAACCCCTAATGTCATCAATCAAATACTCTCTGAACCACATGTACGACTGCCTTCTTAACTGCCTCCATCCCTTCCTTTCTTCCTGTCCCTCTTCTGTCGTTTTCTGCTTCAGTTTTCAGCTTCTCAATCGTTCATTATCTGCCTCCTGCTCCCTATCTTTCTCTCAGGTCCTCCTCCTGCTCCCTATCTTTCTCTCAGGTCCTCCTCCTGCTCCCCATCTTTCTCTCAGGTCCTCCTCCTGCTCCCCATCTTTCTCTCAGGTCCTCCTCCTGCTCCCTATCTTTCTCTCAGGTCCTCCTCCTGCTCCCTATCTTTCTCTCAGGTCCTCCTCCTGCTCCCTATCTTTCTCTCAGGTCCTCCTCCTGCTCCCTATCTTTCTCTCAGGTCCTCCTCCTGCTCCCTATCTTTCTCTCAGGTCCTCCTCCTGCTCCCTATCTTTCTCCCAGGTCCTCCTCCTGCTCCCTAACTTTCTCTCAGGTCCTCCTCCTGCTCCCTATCTTTCTCTCAGGTCCTCCTCCTGCTCCCATCTTTCTCTCAGGTCCTCCTCCTGCTCCCTATCTTTCTCTCAGGTCCTCCTCCTGCTCCCTATCTTTCTCTCAGGTTCTCCTCCTGCTCCCTATCTTTCTCTCAGGTCCTCCTCCTGCTCCCTATCTTTCTCTCAGGTCCTCCTCCTGCTCCCTATCTTTCTCTCAGGTCCTCCTCCTGCTCCCTATCTTTATCTCAGGTCCTCCTCCTGCTCCCTATCTTTCTCTCAGGTCCTCCTCCTGCTCCCCTTCTTTCTCTCAGGTCCTCCTCCTGCTCCCTATCTTTCTCTCAGGTCCTCCTCCTGCTCCCTATCTTTCTCTCAGGTCCTCCTCCTGCTCCCTATCTTTCTCTCAGGTCCTCCTCCTGCTCCCCATCTTTCTCTCAGGTCCTCCTCCTGCTCCCTATCTTTCTCTCAGGTCCTCCTCCTGCTCCCCATCTTTCTCTCAGGTCCTCCTCCCCATCTGCTTCCCTATGACGCTAATCTCCCCTCCCCTACCCCATGCAACCCGTTCTCGCAAATTCGTAAAGTCAATATTGACTTATTAACTACGTGCATAGGTGATATACTAAACATAATAGATACCCTTAAAAAGATTCATAGAAAACACCGACCTTACCTAACCTTGTTAGTATCTTAAGATAAGCACCTTATTGCTTCGTAATTACAATTATTACTTAACCTATACCTATTATAGGTTAGGTAATAATTGTAATTACGAAGCAATAATATGCTTATCTTAAGATACTAACAAGGTTAGGTAAGGTCGGTGTTTTCTATGAATCTTTTTAAGGGTATCTATTATGTTAAGTATGTCACCTATGCACATATTTAATAAGTCAATATTGACTTATTAAATTTGCGAGAACGGGTTGCCCCCATGGCCACCTCCTCCTCCTCCCCTCCTTGTTAAAATCTTCCCAGAATGTAGTGTTGACAGACGTCACCGCTTGCTGTGCTGGACTGATCTGGTATCTTGCAAGAGTAAGTCAATTATTATGCTGCCTTTCACCTACCTGCCGAGTCCCAGGGTAGTTCCATAATTACTCCTGAGGAGGGTGATTGGGTGGGAGGGTAGAGGGGTTATCTGGAGATGTCTATCTTGAGGGTATCTTGAGATGATTTCGGGGCTTTAGCTTCCCCGCGGCCCGGTCCTTCTCCTCCTTAGGGTGGAGTATATTTGTGGTACTTTTGGAGTGAGGAACAGAGGAGTTTATTAAGAATTTGAAGGATAGTGCGGGGATCGAGGCTCCTCACTTTTGAGGAGTGACAAGGAAGGTGGGGGGGGGGGAAGGGTGATTCCTCAGCTCAAGAGGTGTCATTGGTTCTGAAGTGTGGCCGCCACTCTAGTTACACGAGCCCATGACCTGTCAAGCGTAGGGGTCACCACCTGGTTCTCCCTCGCTACATGTTGCTATCGCGTGTGGCCGGCCAGCTGGGGGGGGGGGAGGGGGCACGTGTGTGGACGGCCAGCTGGGGGGGGGGGAGGGGGCACGTGTGTGGACGGCCAGCTGGGGGCACTTGACACCTTGACCACACAGCCCATCTGGTTCCCTGAGTGACTCCATTATTAATCACGTATGAGAGTGTGTGGGGCGACACCACATACCAATTCAACGATTGGAACACGTGTAGCCAGTCAGAGAGAGTGTGAGTGTGTGTGAGTGAGTGAGTGTGTGTGAGTGAGTGTGTGTAAGTGTTTGTGTGTGAGAGTGTGTGTGTGTGTATGTGTGTGTGAGTGTGTGTGAGTGTGTGTGAGTGTGTGTGTGTGTGTGTGTGTGTGTGTGTGTGTGTGTGTGTGTGTGTGTGTGTGTGTGTGTGTGTGTGTGTGTGTGTGTGTATGTGTAATTTTATACATATTGTGTAGACTATTTGCACTCCCATTAAGACTTTCTTCTTCTTCGTTCACAGTTCAAGAGGATGTTAAACAAGGAACTAAGTCACTTCTCAGAGTCCAGCAAATCCGGCAACCAGATTTCTGAGTACATCTGCACGACCTTTCTTGGTGAGTACTCAACACTTAGTCTTAGTTACCTCTTCCAAGTACCCCCCCCCCCACCACTTACGGGCTCACCATAGCCCGTGCTACATGGACACTTCGTTCTCAGTAGCTAAATCTGAAACAACCACCACCACCCCCACTTCTCCATGTTGGGGGGGTGGGGGTGTGTGACGCCGTGGTGGCCTTACGCCCAAATGACGTACTCACGAACTCCTGAACATACAGCCACTAAACATCAGACTGCAGCACCAAGCCATCAGGGTGTGGAACACAATCGAAATGTTGGAGGACCCAATGTTAGACAGGTTACTCCAAGATGAGACGCCCCGCTCCCACAGCTGGTGGCCCAAGAGCCTCGATTCTCTGGACGAAAACCCCGCCCCACAGTATATAATCCCCAGATGAGTTATATATGTGTATATATGAACAGTTCATATATGTGTATGTATGAACTACTCGATAAATAATATGTATGTATGAACAACTCGATAAATAATAATAATAAAATAAAGAGCCTTAAACAGAACAACATGTGTGGAAGCATCGGAGTGTGTATATATGAATGCTACACAGTATTCATCTATGGACATCCATATATGGTGAAACACATGTGAAGAACCTCTCACACACTCACAGCTCCCTGACAAGAGGGAGCCAGCTTAGCTTAGCTGCCAACACCCACACATCGTGTCAGCAAGGCGGACAGTCCGCCGCCTGCTTTTATACCTCTCACTGTATTTCCCACTTCTATACTTCCCTTCACCTATGCCTCTCCTTCCTCTTTATTCCCCCTCCCCCCCAAAAAAATGGCCTACCTCATCTGGCCATTGGATAGATGATAGACTAACTTTTATTTCGTCGATACAATTCTGTTTTCCTCGTCTTTAGCTTTAGCTTTAGGTTTGAAGGGAAGGGAACTATCGGGGGTAAGGGGCCAAGCCATTACGACTATATAGCACTGGGTCAGGATAAGGATTTGGGATGGGACGGGAGGGAAGGAATGGTGCCCAACCATTTGGACGGTCGGGGATTGAACACCGACCTGCATGAAGCGAGACCGTCGCTCTACCGTCCAGCCCAAATGGTTGGGTATTAGCTCGCGCGCATTTGGATATCTTTCAAGACTTTGTTGTTGTGCCGGTGTCTCAAAGGTGTCTCCTTTGTGTCTCAAAGGTGTCTCCTTTGTGTCACAAAGGTGTCTCCTTTGTGTCTCAAAGGTGTGATCAATTGTGTATTCATACAACGCCAGATAAAGAAGTCATCGATCAAATGATCTTATCTCTTACGTCTTGTTATCTGTTATCTCGGACCAGCTGCACGGGTTATCTTTTCCAGCGGACTTATGTTGGTTGCACTCTAGTACTGGAGTGAGGAATGAGTGCACAAGTTACACACACACACACACACACACACACACACACACACACACACACACACACACACACACACACACACACACACACACACACACACACACACACATTCACACTCACTCACTCACTCACTCACTCACTCACTCACTCACTCACTCACTCACTCTCTCTCTCTCTCTCTCTCTCTCTCTCTCTCTCTCTCTCTCTCTCTCTCTCACTAAGTGAGGTGTGTTCACCTTATTCGCTTCATGTTCAACATAATTCAAGCTTCCATCAAATAGAACAGAACAGAATAGATAGATAGTGATAGATAGAAAACACCACACATCCTGTTGGTCTTAAGTTTGGAAATAATTTCTGACGAGTTTTCCTGCTTGCTTTAAGCGCTGAGTTTAACGTCCGGTATTCCCAGAGGAAGGTAAACTCACCCAAACTCAGGGAAAACTCGTGATATATAATGACTGTGAAGTGGACGAGTGAATCAACAGTTACTGTTAGAGCAAGTTTATAGCTGCTCCGTCCAAAGGTATCAGTACCCTTGAGTCTATATAAGCCTATATAGATTTTTTTACCCATTAGGCCTTGACTAACTACTCCTATCCCCTCCCCCCCCTCCCTGGTGTCTCCAGCCTAAGGGATATGGGGGTGTATTTGGGCACCTCACTATACCAGGTACTACTGTGTCACTGTATCTGAGTACTTTGATGGTATTTCAAATAAATTGAGAAACTGATCGAGCAGTTCAATACGGCCGAGGGGAATATGTTATATACCCTCTCCTAAGAGGCTGATCCGAGGGGCAATCATTGAGGGTCGGAGAACTAGATGAGAGATAACTAGGGGAGAGATAACTAGGTTAGAGATAACTAGGTGAGAGATAGCTAGGTGAGAGATAACTAGGTAAGAGATAACTAGGTGAGAGATAACTAGGTGAGAGATAGCTAGGTGAGAGATAGCTAGGTGAGAGATAACTAGGTGAGAGATAACTAGGTGAGAGATAGCTAGGTGAGATATAACTAGGTGAGAGATAGCTGGTGAGAGATAGCTAGGTGAGAGATAGCTAGGTGAGAGATAGCTAGGTGAGAGATAACTAGGTGAGAGATAAATAGGTGAGAGATAACTAGATGAGAGATAACTAGGTGAGATATAACTAGGTGAGAGATAACTAGATGAGATATAACTAGGTGAGATATAACTAGGTGAGAGATAACTAGGTGAGAGATAACTAGGTGAGAGATAACTAGGTGAGAGATAACTAGGTGAGAGATAACTAGGTGAGAGATGACTAGGTGAGAGATAACTAGGTGAGAGATAGCTAGGTGAGAGAGAACTAAGTGAGAGAGAACTAGGTGAGAGATAACTAGGTGAGAGATAACTAGGTGAGCGATAAATAGGTGAGAGATAACTAGGTGAGATATAACTAGGTGAGAAATAACTAGGTGAGAAATACCTAGGTGAGAGATAACTAGGTGAGAGAGAGAACTAGGTGAGAGATAACTGAATGAGAGATAACTGAATGAGAGATAACTAGGTGAGAGATAACTAGGTGAGAGATTGCTAGGTGAGAGAGAACTAGGTGAGAGAGAGAACTAGGTGAGAGATAACTGAATCTATAGCAACAGGTGGGGAGTCAGTACATTAGACAACTGATAGTCAGAAAGGCGGGGTCCAAGAGCTTAACAGCTTGGTCCTGCAGGCACATTTAATGATTACAAAGAGGAGAAAATACACACGCCCGATATAGGCACTGCCCGGTAGTGCTAATAATAGGAAAAGTGGCCCTGAGAAATTGGCTTCCTTGGCCGAAATCTTCCCTATTTGAATAATTAGCAGCGGTTGGGGGGGGGGGTCTGTCTGTCTGTCTGTCTGTGGAATACATGTTACACCGAACACGTTTACGTACGTGTTTGTGTGTGTGTGTGTGTGTGTGTGTGTGTGTGTGTGTGTGTGTGTGTGTGTGTGTGTGTGTGTGTGTGTGTGTGTGTGTGTGTGTGTTGGGCGGCATCAAATACTAGTTGCACGGGTTGTCTGCACTATGCAACATTGTACACACATGTTCCACGATCAGGGCAACACCACCACCACCACACCAACACCACCACACCACCAGCCCCGCGACAACCCTGGCGCCGGTGATCGCCCGGTAACACATAATTATTCCGCTTCACTCTTATGCTTACAATTACCTGATTGCTAATGTAATTCTCCGGTGACGCATATATATATATATATATATATATATATATATATATATATATATATATATATATATATATATATATATATATATATATATATATGCACAATAGCAGCAGGTATAGCTGCTGTGGGGCGCATGATCCTGTCTGAAAATGTTGCCAAGAAAAAGGGCAATTCGAGGCACGGGAGGAATGTGGTGAGAGCGAGGGTGGGCGGGGCTCTCACGTGGCTATACTCCACAAATTCCAAGGTTTTCTCTCCTCTTCCATCCCTTCCTTCTCTTATCCTTATCCCCCCTTTCCCTCCATTATTCCCCCCCCCTTCCCTTCTTAATCCCCCTTCCCTTCTTAATCCCCCCCCCCCTCCCACTCTCTTCCCTCTCTTAAGAGGGAAAATTGTTGTCCAACAATATTCCACTCGAGAATTCAATTCAATTTCTTTCTTTATTATGCACCCCATACCCATCCCGTGGGCGGTGGTGGTGTAAAGGATTACAGAGGCACATAATCGGTTCAGGAACTGAACCCTCTAGTTCGATTAGCTAAGCAAATAACAATCTTTTGACGCTAGTTACAAAATTATTAATGTTATATATACATGTACACATTCTCATACATGTACATATATATATATACGTATACATATATACATACACATCCACTCGAGAGAGCATTAGTGTCTTAAAAACAATCATCAGTGGTCTAACATCTCTAGTGTGAAAGGTTCTTGTTATCCAACCTGTCATTTTTATTGTAGTTGTGACAGGTAATTTAGTGTGTTCTTCAGAAGCAAGGTCTTCCAACATGGCTACTCCCAAATGATGTATATTGTTTTGTCGTTCTATAGTGTGATTTGACGTTTTTAGACTTATTCTTAGACTTATTTTTGTCCATAGCGCAGTGGCGGGAACCTGTATTCGTTAAACTTATTTCCCTTGCGTCACTGAAATGACCGAGTTACATCACTTTGGAAGTTTGTGAAGATGGAGGTCAATACGCAATAAATTACCACGATTCTTGGCCAATGGAATTTTCCCCTTGACCGAGTCGTCTCGATGTTCGGTCGTCCTGGATACGACTGTTGGACACTGTTCTCACGTGGACGACCTGCCGCTGATGAGGCAGGTAGGGGGCTAGACCCTGTGGGGCAGGCAGGCAGGCGGGCAGGCGGGGGCTGCCAAGGAGCGTCACTGAAGGCAGTACCTTGATAAGCTTATAAGAGTGAGATGGAGAGGTACGCGAGTGAACACTGGGGGGTGTAAACAGGACCCGGCCTACACGGAACAATATTGGGCTACGGCGCTCTCACTCCTTGGGCGGTTGGCATTCGGAGCGGGGGTGGACTGCTGCTTAACCCTAAATAGTCATCAACTACGTAGGCAGACTGTCAGCCATATAGCCAGCTACCCATATATATAACCAGCCACCAACC